TGCCGAGAGGCTCTGTGCAGAGCATGCCTGGGGGGTCCCCGTGCCGAGAGGCTCTGTGCAGAGCATGCCTGGGGGGGTCCCCGTGCCGAGAGGCTCTGTGCAGAGCATGCCCAGGTGCAGGTGAGTTAGGACAGTGTGGAGGGGCATCTTCTCTCCTCCAGCCTCAGCATCAGCCTGCACACCCCTGCCCTGGAGACCTCTGTCCCAAGGGGCTTCTCTCGTTTCCAAGCATCCTCTGCAGCTGGGAGTGAAGGGGTCATGGTGGGTGGGGAAAGTGACAGAGGGAGCTCGTGCGTTGTGGGAGTATGGGGGGTTGTGGGGTCATGGGGTGCAGGAGTATGGAGTGTTGTGGGGGTTATGGAGTGTGGGAATATGAGGGGTTGTAGGGTCATGGGGGGAGGTGGCAGAGGGAGCTCATGGGGTATGGGAATATGGGGGGGTTGTGGGGAGATGGGAGTTCAGGGGATGAAGAGCATGGGGAAGAGCTGAGGGGCAGGCATATGGGAACTTATGAGATAAGGGCGTGCGGGGCCTGGGGAGATGGGAGCTTATGGGATGAGGGTGTGGGGGCCTGAGAGACTGGGGACTTAAGGGGTGAGGGTGTGGGGCCCAGGGGAGAGGGGAGCTCTGGGGAGATGGGAGCCCTGGGGAGACGGGAGCCCTGGGGAGACGGGAGCCCTGTGGAGACGGGAGCTCTGGGGAGACGGGAGCTCTGGGGAGATGGGAGCTCTGGGGAGATGGGAACTCTAGGGTGCAGGTGTGAGGCCTGGAGGAGATGGGAGCTCTGGGGTGGAGATTGGGGACTCTGGGGTGAGGGTGGGAGACCTGGGGAGATGGGAGCTTTGGAGTGAGGGTACAGGGGCCCAGGTAGTTGGGAACAGTGGGGTGAGAGTGTGGGGCCCCGGGAGGTGGCAGCTCTCGGGAGTTGGCAGCTCTCGGGAGTTGGGAGCTCTGGGGTGAGGGTGCGGGGGCCCGGGTAGATGGGAACTTTGGGGTGAAAGTGTGGGGCCCAGGGGAGATGGGCACTCTGGGGCCCCTGGAGGCTCCAGCAAGGGTTGCAGACCCTGTTCTTAGTGCCTGGGAGGGTGTTTTATGACAGCCTCCAATTCTTGATTGTGGAGCTGACTCTGGGGTTGTGAGTGGGGCAGCTTGGGTCGGCACAGGAGGAAACACAGGGGGGCCGTTTGGAAACCCCGGCGTCTGACCCAGTGGAAGATGCTGGCCTCGGAGTGATGCTCACAGCCTGGTTACCAGGACGTCTGTTTCAGCTTTGAACATCCTGTGTCCCGGGAGTCCTCTCGGTCTGCTGCATGGCTGTTCCCCCGGGGTCTGTGTGGGTGCAGAGGACGGGGGGCAGGTGTGCCGCCCCCACCCATAGCCCCGTGGGAAGAAGCGCAGGGTTGGCATCCTGGAGCCGGGATCACGTGGCGGTGCCATTATACACCTGTCAACCCACCCTGGTCAGAAGGGAGCGGCGTGGGGTACAGCGTCTGCATGGGCATGGGAGGCCCCCCAAATCCTGCCCTGCCTGCTGCTGGAAACAGCCCGCCGAGAGCGAGGTGGGGGCTCCTGATAAAAGAAGGTCTTGCAGCCAGGTGCGGTGACTCACACCTGTAATCCCAGCACTTTGGGAGGCCGAGGCAGGTGGATCACGAGGTCAGGAGATTGAGACCAGCCTGGCCAACATGGCGAAAGCCCGTCTCTGCTAAAAACACAAAAATTAGCCAGGCGTAGTGGCACACACCTATAATCCCAGCTACTCTGGTGGCTGAGGCAGATGAATTGCTTGAACTGGGAAGGCGGACGTTGCAGGGAGCGGAGATGGCACCACTGCACTCCAGCCTGGGCAACAGACAGAGAGTGTAAACACCAGGCCACAGGCACAGCTGCTGATGAATGCGCTGAGTTCACCCCACCCCTGTCCTCACTCTGGGACTGTGTTGCCTCTTTCAGCATCGATGTGTGCAGAGAAAATGGGGAGTTAACAATTCAGGATTTCTTTTCTTCTGTTCAGCTCATCACCTGCCCCATCCGGGCTAATTAGGCATCTCATTTCTTTGTTTCCAAGCTAATTTCAGCAGTAGCAGGTTTATTTGCTTGTTTAAACCTCAAACAACAAGTAAAGTAGCAAGATTTCCCATTCTGCTCTGTTGTTTGAAAATATATTTCACACTGAGTTATTCATCCCCGAAGACCTCGTCTTCTCGTAAATCTAGCGCCGTGGATGATGATGCTCACAGTGTCGAGTGTGTCTGTCTGAAGAGCAGGGCCATGGGGTCTGCTGCGCCCAAGTTGTGGCTGGTGCGTCCCTGCCCAGAAGCCAGCTGGGTGCTTGCAGGCAGCGGCTGAGCCGTGTCTCCAGAAGGAAGGGCTTCTTCCCTTCTCAGGGTGAGCGCAAAGCACTTCCTTGTAGGGAGGGTGGGGAGGGCCAACGTCGCAGCCACTGGCGGGACAGACATCCTGCACACCCCTGGGCTCTCCTCTCAGCCAAAAACTTCTTCGGCTCACAGCCAGATTAACAAGCTGTATGGCTCTGCATGAAGACAGCTGTGTGACCCCAGCTTTGTAGCCACACCCAGAAGCACAGAGAGGTGGGGCCGGGCCCAAGGACCACAGTGGTGCCTCCATGTCACACAGCCCTCCCCTGGGGAGCGGGCCTGGGCTGGGGAAGGGGTCGAACTGGCTTTCAGTCTGGGAAGAGGTTGCACTGGCTCTCAGGCCGCAGCTTCTGTTCCCCGTGGTCTCCCCTCCCTGTTATAGGGAAGAATCTTGCCCACGGCACCTTCCTATTGGCAGAGTGTGGGTGACCTGGGCATCCTCCTCTCTGTCCAACCCACAGCAGAGGCAGGAGCTGGAAGTGGCTTCTCCCGACCCTGCTGGACACCACCACCCCTGTGTGCACCAGGGGCCCAGTGGGACAGCACGGAATGGGGTGCCATGCCAGGCGGCCCCACTCAGCTGTGCCGGCACACATAGACCCTGGGGCCATCAGGAAGGAGTCTCCTGCCGGTGGCAGCTCGGTGTAGCCAGCTGAGCCGGGGCCTCAGTCTCCTGCTGTCCGTCCAGGACACTCAGCTTTTGTTTCCGGTCTCAGAGCCCGGAGCCCGGTGGGGCTGCCGCCGTTTCTATGGTAACTGCAGATCTGTGTCCTGCCACCTGTGTGACTGTGTTCTGTTCTCCTTGTAGATGGAGGAGATAAAATTTAAAGACAGAGCAGTCTTCGTGCTGGAGAGAGAGTTAGGGGTTCAAGCCGGGCATGCTCAGAGACTGCAGCTCCAAAAGGACGCTCTAGATGAGCAGCTGTCCCAGGTCCGAGAGGCCGACCGGCACCCGGGCAGCCCCAGGCGGGAACTTCCTCATGCAGCCGGTGCAGGAGACGCTTCAGACCACTCGGGAAGCCCTGTAAGCACCTCCCAGCCCGCTGGCCCGCCCGTGTCACAGGCCCAGCCATGTGGCTGCATGGCCCTGCATGGCCACTCCCCCAGGAGCTAGGGCCCGAGTCCAGCCAGCACCCTCCTGCCCTGGGCACCTCCCACCCAGCCTGGCCGGCAGACTGGGCTCCCTCCTTCCTGTCAGCACAGCATCAGCCCCAGCCTCACCACCCTCCTGTGGGCCCCAGCCTCAGGCTTCTGCTGCAGTCCATGGCCCTGGCTGGCCCGGGGTCCAGCCGTCGGTTGGTAGGAGGAGGCCGTGCTGGGCATGCGCTGCCGCCATCACCATGCACACGGCCTCGCCTCTGGCCCGGGAAGGCTGGCGCACCGGCTCCATGCCCGCTGTGTGCCCCTCTGGCCCCTCAAGGGTGATTTCTGGCACTCACATCACCAGTCACCCTCCCACCGGCTTCTCACGTGATCCTGCCACGCTCTGCTCCCCCGCTGGGGCCTGCCGACTGCCCCGGCTGAGCTCTGCCTGCTTCCGCACTGCCACTCGGCGCTCACGTGCTCTGTAGTGGTTCTGGGACACCTGGGGGATCTGAAGTCCAGGGACCCTCTACTGGTCCTTCCGGGTCTTTGACCCCGAGCCTCTCCTGCACCTGTTGAATGAGGAACTCGAGTCGGGCCCAGGACCATCCTGGATGCCTGCTTGTTGGAGCTGAGGACAGAACTGTGTGAGCCGAGTCGGTCCTAGGACAGCGACATTTCAAAAATAGAAAATATTAAGATCGCATTCAAACGGCTTCACTGAAATCCAGCCCCTCCTGCTCTGGTGCTTGGTAGACATGGCATTCACTCCAGAGAGATTTGAACTGGATTAAAATGTTTCCACCAATTTTTGAGTGAAGTTCCAGGGGTCCCAAAAGTGGCCCTTTAGAAGCCCCATTGGAGGGAGGTCGCCTCTCACTTCTGAAAGTCTCCAACAAGTGTCTTTCCCGTGCTCGTGTCATCGTGCCAGAGAAATCCCGCCTCGCTGGCAGGGCACGGCACAGCGCACCCTCCTGAAGGGCAGCGGCAGGGGCCACGCAGAGGGCTGGGAGCTGGCAGGCGTCTCCTGGTCACCCACACTCGCGGTTTCCGCATTTGCACGCCCCGCCCTCTCCATCCGCGTACTTCCAGACCGTCTGCTCCTTTCCATTGTGTACTTCACGTTATTTTAAGTAGTTGTGTTTGAGGCAGGATCTCACTCTGCCCCGTGTGTTCTGTCACCTCACGCAGTTGCGGTGACCATGGTGCCAGGCCAGGTGCCGTCCCCCGGGGGTCCGAGCCTGCCCGGCGGGCAGCCACGTGGAGGCAGACGCATGTTCCCGTCGCAGGGTTTTGGTTTCTGTCTCGTGCTGGGATTTGCAAAGGCTTTCCAGGTCTGTGTGTGGGGACAGTTATTTGCAGTTGATTTTTGTTTTAGGAACAGCAGTTGGATGAAAAGGATGCCCGGCGCTTCCAGCTTAAGATCGCGGAGTTAAGCGCCATCATCCGCAAACTAGAGGACCGTAACGCCTTGCTGTCAGAGGAGAGGAATGAGCTGGTGAGCGCGGCCCGGGCTTCCAGACCCAGGGCTTGTGACCGCGGAGTGGAGGGGAGGGGGGCGTCCACTTCCAAAATTCCTTGTGAAAAGGAGCGGTGCTTGCCAGGCCTGGCCTTGCGCCGAAGCCTCCTGACTGGTCCAGTTGCACTTTATCAGCAAACATAGACAGTGGCCAGATTTGTTGCTCAAGGGCTGGCCGACCAGTCCCTGTGCTGCGTGAATGGAGGCAGAAGCTTCCTGTGTTCTGTAGATGATCTGGGTGCAGACGTGGCCCCTTGGTGGGGCTGTCACCACTGGTCCTTAAAGCCACCAAGATTTCCGGGTAACCTGAGGTTCTGGAGGGTGTGTGAGCTGTCACGTGTCTGCAAGGGTCCAGTGGGCTGTGCGATTTTGCCACAGCCCTTCTTGGCAAACAGAGAGCTAGCCCCAGACTGCTCATCTTCATCTTCATCCCCATCCGTTGATGGGAGAGGGGACTCTGCCTGGGGATGCCCAGCCCAGCCCTGAGTGTGGGTTCACCCAGCACGGGGCAGTGGGCGCCACTTGGAGGCGTGGACTTTCCCAGCAGAGGGTTGGAAACCACAGTGTTGCAGCCCGGACTCCGGTCAGTCTGCGACACTGTGTGGAGACCTGCTGGTTCTCTGTCACTTAAACAACAGCCACGTAGTGCTGTTAATTTTGTCTTTCAGTTAAAGCGTGTCAGAGAAGCCGAGAGTCAGTACAAGCCGCTGCTGGATAAAAACAAGCGCCTCAGCCGGAAGAACGAGGATTTGTCCCACGCTTTACGCCGCATGGAAAACAAGTTAAAATTCGTCACCCAGGAGAACATAGAGATGGTGAGGAGCTGGGGGGTCCGTGGGGCCATGGCGCCCCTGAGCTCGAAGGCAGCAGCACCTCCCTTCTCCACGTGAGATTCAGCATAACGGCCAGTCCCCGGTGTCACAACAGCTGTCTGCTGGGGTCTGGCCTCAAGCATGTCTGACGGAGAGCAAGCGCCAGGCCCAGCTCTGGGGAGGGGAGCCTTGGAGGAGGCACTGACCGTGGGAAGGAGGCGGCTGTGGGGCATCCCCTCACTCAAGGGCTGGGACAGGCGGCCTCTGACTCGGAAAATCCCGGGCAAGGGTAGTAAGAGGCTGCAGGGTCCCAGCGGTTAGGGAGGAGGGAGGCCTGGTACACAGCACCGAGCAGGAGTCAGGGGCGGGGGTCTCTGTTCCCACAAGGCCACGAAGCCAGGACTGGGGGATCACAGCGGGTGTCGTCCTGTTCAGCTGCCCTGAGGACCCTGAAGGCCATGAAGCCAGAGCTTACCCCGCAAGTCATTCAGCAGGACGTGGGGGAGGAGGGCGCTCCAGACCCCTCTCTACTGAAGTACCCTTCTTCACATGCTGAGTTAAAGTCAGGAGGGATTTGGGAGTGGTGCCAGCTGTGAAATGGGCACACAGCCCAGTGCTATCCTCAGGGGTCTGAGCGATCCCATCCAGCCGTGCTTTCTGGGAGCCCAGCAGGGCCCCTGTGTCCGTCCAGGCTGCACAGACCTGCCCCTGCTGTGGGCCTGGGCCCAGACACAGGCTTCATTTCCCCGGACTCTGCGGCTCAGCTGCTCTGAGGCCTGAGGGGAGGCCGCGGGCCCCACCACTGAGAGGTGAGAAGACCCCCCCAGCCCCCCGCCCACCGTGTTCAGCCAGACTGCCTGATGTTTTAGAGACAGAGAGCTGGAATCATACGGAGACCCAGTTCCTTGAATGACCTTGATCAAAGTCAGGATGAGAGAGAAGTCGATTTCTTGAAGCTTCAGATTGTGGAGCAGCAAAACCTCATAGATGAGCTTTCTAAGGTATCCGGGGCCGTGGCCCATCCTCTGGCTTCCACGGGGCGTGGCTGACAGGGACCCTTAGCAATTCTGTAACGTGCTGCCTTCCTCCCCTAGACGCTGGAGACCGCTGGCTACGTGAAGAGCGTGTTAGTAAGTACGCACAGCGCCACCTTCCCCAGCCCCTGCTCCCCGCGCCGTCACCCGTGGGACCCATTCTGTGCCCGGGGCTCCTCACAGACCACACAGAAGCTGCCAAGATGCCTTCTGGGTGGATTTTGCTGTCGCAGCGCTGCCCGGCCAAGGCTGTGTGCAGGGGCCTGAGGCCCTTTGGTGTGGGTCAGACAGGAGCCAGGAAAAGACGGATGCCCCAGCTGAGATGGCACCAGCTTGGGGCCGTCGTGTTTGAGTTACCGGCCAGGGTCAGGGCTGCCCTCCTGCGGTTGCTCACCCGGCTGTGCGTTTCTCCCCGGCCAGCACACACAGGCAGCCGCATCCCACGGGTTCACCCTCATGGCCATGAAACCACAGCGTGGCTTCCCTGGAGAGCAGCAGGACACCGTCTCCTTAGTGTTTTAAGGGCATCGGTCCCCACACAGATGTGGATGCCACTCCTGCAGGGTCCAGAGGTGCCCTGGCCATGAGTCCCCTTCCAGCTTCCCACAGTTATGTGCCCCCCAAGTCACCTGCCCCACGTGGCCCCTGGACACATTCAGAAGGGGAGCTGTTGCACCACTGAGCAAGACAAGCTGAGAGCCCACCTAACCGGGGAGCCGGCTGGGGAGCCGTCCCTGTCACCCTGCAGGCATGAGCTCCCCAGGCAGCAGAGCTGGAGCCGGGCCTCCTACTGTGGTGTGGGGACAGCCAACACGGACGCCATCTTCCCCATCACTCAAATGATGGCACGGGGACATTATACCCTGGACTTGAAACTGCTGCAGCGGCTCCACCACTTACACACCCTTTTCCCCTGGCTTCTGCAGGAGCGGGACAAGCTGTTAAGGTTTCGGAAGCAAAGAAAGAAAATGGCAAAACTTCCCAAGGTAAGGAAAAGTGCTCCGGCGGGTATGGACAGTACACCCGGTGTGTGTGCAGGGAAAGTGCCGGTGTGTGTGGAGGGGGCGTGCTGGCGTGTGTGGAGAGGGGCGCACTGCTGGCGTGTGTGGAGAGGGGCGCGCTGGCGTGTGTGGAGAGGGGCGCACGGGTGTGTGTGTGGGGGGGCAGGTGTGTGTGTGTGGGGGGGGCGGGTGTATGGTGAGCATATTGCCATGTGCTTAATAGGGTCAGTCTGTGGAGATTAAAAGACAATAATTTTTATTGTTTCTAAAGATTGTTCAAATTGCAATGACCAAAATAGGACCCAAAATAAATGTATTGTTTATCATGTTAAGAACCTTGTTTCTTTGAAATTTCCCAGAGAAGATAGGAATTGTAGCGACCATAGCAGCAGCACTAGTGAGGAAGAGGCCACAGCTCCGGGACACACGTGTCCTCACCACTGTGTGGGATCCGAATTCTCAGGACCTGTGGACGCATTGCTCTGAGGACAGGCAGTGGCAGCCATTCACACTCACTGGTCCTGGCTGGCCACACACCCCATGCGTGCCTGTCCTGCTGGTCACCGTCCCCGGCCACACCTGCAGGCTGTGGCTTGTCCACAGGCCACGCAGGGCAGACCCACGTCCCCAGGAAATGCCAACATCGGTTGTCATTTCTCTACAGCAGAATCCCTGTGATAAACCTGTGATTTTTATTAAGGGAGCCTTGGGAGCAGTTGCCAAAGGACCTAACTCATCTCCTGCTTTATGCGAAGTGTGTGTGTGTGTGTGTGTGTGTGAAAGTGTGTATGTGTGTGTACATTTGTGTGTGTATATGTATGTGAGTATGTGTGTATATGTGTGTGTAGTGTATAGATTGTGTATGTGAATGTGTGTGTATGAGTGTGTGTATGTGTGTGTTAGTGTGTATGTGTGTATATGTGTGTGAGTGTGTGTGCACGCACATGTGTGTGTGTTGCTTTTAGGCACTCCTCGGTGTTTTCTCACGGCTCCTAGATTGTCGGCTGCTCTCGGTCACAGACACTTGCCCTTGGAAAGGTCGGGAGGAGGAGCTGTCCAGGCTCTCCCTGCTTGGGACCCTCTGGGGTTTAGAAGTGTCCAGTGCACGCTTTGGCCCTGTGAAGGAGGACACAGGGTGGGGTGCACACAGGACAGGGGCTAGCATTTGGCAGGGGGTGGGGGAGCTGGGCGGCCCTGGGGTCCTGGGGGGAGTTTGCTGGAAGGTTCTGGCAGAAGAACTGGGAGGAGGCCTGGAGGCCACCGTGGCCACGGCAGAAGGGACTGGGAGGAGGCCTGGAGGCCACCGTGGCCACGGCAGAAGGACTGGAAAAGATGGCTGGCTTCCCTTTGTGTAGCACTTGTAAACCTAGATGAGGAACCCTGCAGTTCTCGAAGGCAGGGGTGAGGGGACCCTAAGGATGCAGAGTCAGGTGAACCTGGGGGTCCCCGAAGGCAGGGCCTCTCACATCGGCTGGCAGAGGGCCCCATTTTTGTTTTTATTCCAATCAAGGACTGAAATTTAAACACACACACACACACACATACACACACACACAAATATATTACTGGGAACTAGATTGCATAGGGCAGGCATCCACCATTGATTCTGTGACCCCGGCACCACCCCCAGGGAACCGCAGGGACGATGCCCCATGAAGGTCCTCATTTCCCTGACCAAGGGCAGGTCCAGGACCCGCTCACCCACGGGACTCCGGGCCCCGCACCCACCTGCCCTGGCAGCCTTGCCATAGAGCCCCCCTCACACCCAGGCCCCTCTGAGATGGGAGGGCACCATGGGGTGGGGCTGCAGCCCCTGCCATTGGGCACAGGAGGAGGTGGGAGAAGGGGGCTGTGCCTGGGTCTGGGTTTGAACTGACACATTGCGTTTCGGTCACAAGCCAGTTGTTGTGGAGACCTTCTTTGGATACGATGAAGAGGCCTCCCTCGAATCGGATGGTTCTTCCATCTCTTACCAAACAGACAGGACGGACCAGACCCCATGCACCCCGGACGATGACTTGGAGGAGGTAATGAGGCTCTTCCTGCTGGGTCCTGGCCTTGGCTGGGGGTGGGTTGCTGCTTTCACGAGGAAGCCCTTGGTGGCCCTCACTGGCACCCACCCACTGGTGGCCGGCTCAGGCACAGTGAGAAGCTCCAGTGATGTGGCTTGGGGTGTCGCCTGAGGCCAGCTCCTGCTCCCGTGAAGGCTGAGCCAGGCCTCCTCTCGCCATTGAGCCTACGCCCTTCTAAAGAGGGGTGTGGTGAGCTCTCCCCTCCTAAGGGGCCTCCCCAGGGGGATCTGAACCACTCGCCGGGGAGTTTGGTCCCAGTGCCAAGACCACATTAGGGTGAGTGGGCACTGAGCAGGAGTTTTCTTCCTGATAACGGCGCAGGCGTTTCTGCCTGCCAGCCCCTCTCCCAGAAGGGCAGCCACCTCAGCAGCAGGCTGGAAACCTTGGCATTGTGGGGCCCAGGCTCTGTGGCCTGGGACAAGGAGTGGGGTGTCTACAGTAAGTGGCACAGAGAGGATTGGGCCTCCCTGGCAGACCCTGGAGGGTGGCCCAGCAGCCACAGACCTGCCGGGGGACCTAAGACTTCCTGGAGCAGTCTCAGGTGCAGGGTGGGGCCAGGGAACTGGGCCAGGCCGGGGCTTCCGGGCTCAGTGACTCCAGGACATGGCCTACCCTTCCAGCCCCCGGGGCCCCCTGGGACACTGCGAAGGCAGCAGCAGGCTCACCTGCCTTCTCCCTGGGGTGGCAGATGGCATTGCAGCTGGCAGCATGAGCCTGCAGGAGTGATCCTGGGAGGAAGCGTGCTGCCTGGGGTGCTCGACCCCCTTTACAAAGCCCAGCCCTGTTCCCAGGACACATTTCAGCAGAGCAGAGTGTGTGCAGGCCTGGTCAGTGACAGAGGGTCTGCTGTGTCAGGGCAGCCTGGCTGGCAAGGTGAGCCACCAGCCCAGCAGGCTCACCCTGGCCTCAGCCGTGCAGCAGGCTCAGCTCCCACCCCAGGACCTGGCGCTCCCCTCTGCAGGGAAACCTTTCTCCAATAACACTGAGTCCCCAGGCAGGCACCCCTCCCGCACACTGGAGAGGGTCTCCCTCACGCTGCTAGAGAGACCCCCCATTTGATGTCTGGGGAGAAGGGAAGCCCTGGGGCCTCACTGACGGAGGAGGTGCTGGCTGCTGACACTGCGTGTCTGTGCATGTGGCATCTGTGTCTCTCCAGGGCATGGCCAAGGAGGAGACGGAGCTGAGGTTCCGGCAGCTGACCATGGAGTACCAGGCCCTGCAGCGCGCCTACGCCTTGCTGCAGGAGCAGGTCGGAGGGACGCTGGACGCAGAGCGAGAAGTTAAGGTCTACATGACTTCCACCGTGCGCTCCGGCCCCCTCGTGCCTTCCTGCGTGACCCCTGTGGCCCTGGCCGGGGCACCCCCACTGCCAGCCCTCTGGCCCTGGCCCTTCCTCTCCTGCCATTGCCTCTGGTCCCAGTGGTGGCCACGGAGGCTGATCAAAACCAGGCACTGGGAGTCCATGCTGGGAGCTGGCCCAGGTGGGAGGGACGGGCCCAGAGCGGTGCCAGGCACAGATGTGATTGAGGGTTCTGGGGGAGACAGGGCGGGGACAGTGGCAGGGGCCCACCGTGCCCAGGGTGGGTCTCCTCCTTCCGGACCTCCTCTGCTGCTCTTGGCAGCATGGCGGTGACCCATGGCAGCATCGAGCTAGGTGTCGAAACTCACGGAGGTCGTTCATCCTAAAGGCTGAGCTGGCACAGGCTGTGGCTGCCCTGGCCCTGGGCCCTCTCTTCCTTCCCTCTCCCCCACGGGGCGGGACCCCAGCAGCCGAGCCCCCTCCACCCGCTTCCCTGGCCCACCTGGGTGTCGGCCCCCAGGAAAGGCCCCTGTGTGGCTGGCGGGTGTCCTCTGCGGGCCATGGAGGGCAGTGCAGGCACCAGTGGGGGGGGGCCTGGGTCAGGGGTCGGGGATCCCTCACTGCCCCACCCTCCTGGAGGAACTGCACCTGCGGGCCATCGAAGGGGTATGGGCTGCTTCCCTGGGGAGCTGAGGGGTTCTCCTAAGCAGACAGCTGTGGGATCTGGGGTTCCCATTGGCCTCCGACACCCCACGACCACCCTGTGGGGCCAGAGACACCAGTGTCTGGCAATTCGGCAACTTAGAGTGGCTGGGCTGGGTGAGGGATGGGCGCCTTGGGGTGAGGGGAGAGGGTCTGCAGGGCACCCCAGCGTGGTCCACGCCAGTGCCCTGGGGAGCCACCAGCCTCACCTTCCATCCACCCAGACCACCCTGGTGACATGGCTTCCTCCTCCTGCCTTCCTGTGCACCTCACTGGGGACATGTGTTGTGAAAATGAAGAGAGAACCCCCCATCCACCATGCGCCTCCTGTTGATGTGAGCAGGCACCTAGTGCTGGAGGGGACTCCCCATCTCAGGCTCGGAGAGATGTGTCTGTGTAACGGGGGACTTTAAATTTCCCCTCTTTCACTTTGACTTAATTTTTTCATGACCCTTGGAGAAAGGAACGAATCCAGGCCTCAGCTCAGAGCATCCTAAAGCACGGAGGCCCTGAGACAGCTCAGCCTCCTGGGCCTAGCCTTGCTCCCTCACAGCCCAGCCAGGGCGGAGCAGCAGCCGTGTCCTCCCAGCCAAGCTGGCCCGGAGCTAGAGGAGCTGGGGGAAGCATCCTGTCCTCCCATTGCCCTGTCGGGTGCTGGAGAAACATTTGCTTGGGGGCCACGTGAAAACAAGAACTTAGAAGATTTTGCTTCCAGAGCAAAAACGCCCAGAATGCATGCAAAATTTTTCTTAATGTCATTTAGAATCAGAGGAAAATCTGATGCCAAGAAGTGCTACATGGTTATTTTAAAAATTGAAAGATACAGAAAAGATTAATGAAGAAACTAGGCTAGCCAGCATCCCACAGTCTGATTATGTATTATAACTGGAAATGTCATTCCTCATGTGGAAGTCGAGGCAGCCTCAGGATAAGGAAGAAGCTGTGGAGAGGCGTGGGAGGACAGGCATCTGAAGACCTGGACGTGGGCCCGTCCCTGACATGGTCCTGAGGCTTGGGGGGGTCCGTGGCCACCTGTGGGCTCCATCTCCCTGTGTGGGAACACTGGGTTAGGACTGACTAGAACCCCCTCTCAGCTCCGGATTCTCCAACCCAAGGGCTCACACCCACCATTGTGGCCTCTTAAGGGAGAGAAGGGGGAGGAAGAGCCAAGGACAGCCTGGGGGCAGGGAGCTGGGACCCGGCACTGGGGGCACCACAGGCCACACCTTCACCCACCTGCACCCCAGCTGATGGATTCTCTGAACACGAGCCTTGTCCCTAAACGCGCCCCTCCCTTAGAAGCTATCCCCAGAGAGCAGGAGCCACCGTGGGGTGAAACGCCTGTGGTTCGGGGCCACCAGAGGAAACTGAATTCAGAGAGGGTGGCTCAGACCTCAGCTAGAAGCCTCAGGGGCTCTCAGGAGGGACTTCACAAACCACAAACCCCAGTGCTGATGTGGAAAGCGCCAGGGCTTTTCCTGCAGACGTGGGGCGGGCTCTGGGGAAGTCAGTTAAGGAACTCACAAAGGCCGGGGCAGCTCCCGCACAGGCACCCGACCGCCCGGGGCTCCCGGTGGGTCTGTGGGGAGAGTCCCTTGGACATACGGGGCAGCTCCTGTGCAGGAGGCACCCAACCGCCCGGGGATCCCAGTGGGTCTGTGGGGAGAGTTCCTTGGACACACGGCAGCTCCCGCACAGGCACCCGACCGCCCGGGGCTCCCGGTGGGTCTGTGGGGAGAGTCCCTTGGACATACGGGGCAGCTCCTGTGCAGGAGGCACCCAACCGCCCGGGGATCCCAGTGGCTCCGAGTGGAAGGTCCCTTGAACACACAGCAGCAGGCAGCTCCCGCACAGGCACCCGACCGCCCGGGGATCCCAGTGGGTCTGTGGGGAGAGTTCCTTGGACACACGGCAGCTCCCGCACAGGCACCCAACCGCCCGGGGATCCCAGTGGCTCCGAGTGGAAGGTCCCTTGAACACACAGCAGCAGGCAGCTACCGTACAGGCACCCGACTGCCCGGGGCTCCCAGGGCGTCCGTGTGGTGGGTCCCTTGAACAAAGCGCCCTGGCCAGCACCCGCAGGGCTGAGCACGGGTGAGACCTCCATCATCCACCTTGGCTGTGTCATCCTGTAAACAAAGGGTTCTTCTAACAGGACCTCAAAATTAACCTGCAGAATTGCCCCGTGGAATCTAAGTGAGATCACTTGCTTCAAATGCGCCTTAAAGTTCTCCCTCTAGGGCTGGGCACCGTGGCTCACACCTGTAATCCCAGCACTTTGGGAGGCTGAGGCAGGATTGCCCTCAGGAGTTTGAGGGCAGCCTGGGCAACATGGTGAAACCCTGTCTCTACAAAAAATACAAAAATTAGTGGGGCATGATGGCTCATAGCTGTGGGTCCAGCCACTGGGGAGGGTGAGGTGGGAGGATCAGCTGAGCTCGGGAGGCGGAGGTTGAAGTCAGGCAAGATTGTGCCCCTGAGCTCCAGCCTGGTTGACAGAGCCAGACCCTGTCTCAAAAAAAAAGCTCTTCCTCTTTTAGAAAGCATTTCTTCCAAAGGAAAGGGGAACAGTCCCTTCTGAATGAGCTTAACTGAAAGGCTCTTCTGAGGTCTCCTCGAGTGTGTGTGTGTCTGTCTGTCCGGCTTTTAGAGAAAATTTGATGTATCTTCCTCCCATCCTACAGACCCGTGAGCAGCTACAAGCTGAACTGCAGAGGGCACAGGCGCGGATCGAGGACCTGGAGAAGGCCCTGGCGGAGCAGGGGCAGGTGAGCCCACAGGCGCCACGTGGCCGTGGGGGCCACACGTCCGGGGGAGTGTTCGGCTGCACCTGAAGACAAGCAGGTCTGGGGGCTTCACAGCACCCACGTCACCCCGCAATACAGCATGCCGGAACCAGGAGGAAGGAATCCCAGGCTAGCCTTGTATGAGGCGGGACTCTGCCTGGGCCTGGACGCAGCCTCTCCTGGGCTCAATCTTGGAGGATCTCTCAGTCCCCTGAACTCAGGGCCGGGATTTCAGGTCCTGCAGGTCCTGCCCCGGGTGCTGGTGGAAAATGACCAGATACTTTCTGACCTGGGGTTCCCAGGAGCCGGTCCTCCAGGTGGAGAAAGTTGCCCACAACCCAGGTAACCTGCTTTGCTCAGAGTCACTGCCCTCTGCCTTCTACGACCCGCACCACCCCGGGTCCCTCACGCCCTGTGGGGAGGCGTCCACCCCTATGGCCCCAGGCTGAGCCTCCCCTCTGACCTCTGGGGCCTGACACCAGGCTGAAGGATGTTGCCGTGGGGTGGGGAGAGCACGTGAACATGCGCTGGGGGCAGGGACGAGTTTCCCTGGCCCCCCGCCAGCACCCGCTTCTGGCCCATGGCCGTCCTTAACTTGTCAACTGCTAGATGGACAGACAGGCGGGTAACGTGTCTGTCCACGTTACCCTGGATGTGCCACATCGCCGGCATCCTAGCATTCAGTGTTGGGGAACCTGTAGCCAACCTCCACCCTCCTCGCCTCTTCAGAGTGGTGCCGATACCGCACCAGGCCCAGCCTCCGCAGTCACGGTGGCCCCGTTCCCAGGCGCTGCTGCGAAATTCCCGGGGCACCATCCGGCGCTCACAGGGTTTCGCAGACGCTGCTGTCTTACTGTCACTGAACCCAGGCTCGGCTGCTGGCCGCTCAAGAGCCAAGCCCAAGACAGTCAGTGGGAGGAAAAGCAGGTGTAGTCGGGAAGCAGCAACCTGCGGAGATGGCGGACGAGCGTCACGGAGACCATCGCGTTTCCCAGGCTGGCCTGAGGGTGTCACGGCAGGGGATGTGGAGCAGTCGCATGCCGGGGCTGACTCCACGTGGTCAGGGCAGTCCGCGCCTTGTCCTGATGACTGTCTTGAGCAGCGGGCATCAGGCGGTGTGGCTGGCATCAGCGTGACCGTGACAGGAACGTGGTCTAACCACTCATGTTCCTCCTGGGGCGGGACATTCCGAAACCTGTTCCCTAGGCTCAGCTTTTCAAGGCCAGTTCCCGGAGTCCTGGAAGCGAAGCATGTGAACTGAGCATCATGAAAAGCCTAGCATTGAAAGAAGGGAAGAAAGAAAAACAGAGGAGAATGATTGTTTTTCGAGATGGGGTGGAGTCTCTCTCTGTGACAGTGTGCCAGGAGAGAGAAGTGACCGGGGCGGTGGGAAACCAGGAGGATGAGAACTCCGCTTCCTTCCTCTGCCAAACTGGCTCCTTCAGACTTGGCAAGAGCTTCACATGCGACTTTGGGGAGAAGAAACTTGGGACAAATCCGGCGTCTGAAGAAACCAACTTTACTCCTGACACTTTGCTTTATTCTTAAAAATGCCACCGATGGGGGCTCCCCGAGTATGGTCAGTGAGGTGCCCACACGCCCTAACCTGCCACGTGTCCCGACTGTAATGGACCGGACACCCCCACCCTGAGTGAACTGTCGTCTCCACCTGCCCGAGACCCTTGCTCTGCAGCTGGGTCCAAGCTCACTCCGGCTCAGGGTCCCCTGGGCCTGTGATGTCCACACAGGACAGTCTGTCGCCAGCACCTGGCCCGGGGCAGACGCCTGGCCTGCGGTCCATGGGGCTGCATGCGGTGCCCTCCTAGGGCCTCCTGGGCGGGCCTGTCCTGGCTTTCTCTGTCTCAGAGGAAATGGGTGAACCCACAGGTGTTCGGCGAGGGTTGTTAGGTGGTTATTTCAGATGCTGCGCGTCGAATCCTTTCATGTTCTTTGTGTTTCGTTTTTGTTTGTTTTGCAGCAGGGCCCACTCTGTTGCCCAGGCCGGAGCTCAGTGGTGCAGTCATAACTTACTGCAGCTCGACCTCCTGGGCTCAAGCCATCCTCCCCGCTCAGCCTCCGGAGCAGCCGGGACCACAGGCGCGCACCACCACGCGCGGCTAATTTTTGTATTTTTTGTAGAGAAGGGGCGTTTCCACGTTGGCCGGGCCGATCTTTGCGTTCTGCCACGTCGCAGTGTAAACGCTGGTTATAAGTTCCCTAGCCATGTTTTTATTTCTTCCTGTTCCATTTTTAAGGATATGAAGTGGATTGAAGAGAAGCAAGCGCTGTACCGGAGAAACCAAGAGCTTGTGGAGAAGGTGAGCCCCAGACCCCTCGGAGAGCCCCGGACCCCTCGGAGAGCCCCAGACCCCTCGGGGAGCCTGGGAAGACTCACTCTTTGCTCGTGGGGGCTGCAGTGGTCCCTGTGGGGCTGAAGGTAGAGCCAGGGCTGAGGTTTCTGAATGGCTCTGCTCCAGACCCCTTCCGCTCCACCCCCTTCTGTGGGACCAGTCAGGAGCCCTGGGGAGGAGGACCCGGTCGCTGGCTGGAGGGAGCTGGGGCTTGTTCTCCGGTCCAGGCAGAGCCCCTGTCTGCAGCTGCATCTCCATTCCTGTCCTGCTGTGCTGATGGGCTCTGTGGGTGGGCTGCTTACAGCATCGTGAATCAGGTGCCCTTTCGAGACCATGGAATCATCCCCGTGGGAATCACCCCCGTGGGAATCACCCCCGTGGGAATCATCCCTGTGGGAATCATCCCCGTGGGAATCACCCCCGTGGAAAGCCTGGCTGGGTCAGGGAAGTCTCCAGCAACGCTTGTGAGGAAGCGACAGGGCCCTCAGAGGAGCCTGTGGACCAGCCCGGCTGAGCAAGCGCATGTTTGAGACGTCACCAGAGCATCACCTGGCACGCTCAGGTCCAGGATCTCTTGGCCCTGGATGACAAGAGGCTCCCAAAATGCTGCCCCCACCCCCACCCCCACCCCCACCCCTACCCTGGCTGAGGATTGTGGGCTGGACAATTTTACCTGACGTAAAACAGATCAAAACATGCAGTGTGTGGCCAGGCTGCTCTAAGTGGCCTTCGCTTCTGCCTGGGGTGCAGGGACGGGAGCGCAGGCGTCACACGGGGCACCTCTCCACATCAGGCCCGACTGGCTCAGCTGCCTCGTGCACTGGTTAAAGGGGTCACGGCACTGAGGGCCCTAGACTTAGGTTAGGTCTGGGCAGTCTGGGACCATTCCAAGAGGGGTGCACTCCACAACTGTGGGCACAGGTGATGTGGCACAAGGCGGGGGTGAGGCTGGCTGTGGGTCCAGGGGCCATTACCACTCGTGGGTGAGGGGTGCTCCATGTGACCCCGCCCCACTTGTCCACCAGCAGGGGCAGGTGTCCTGAGGAGGCAGTGACACCTCACCCAGGCAGGTGTGGCCCTCTGGGGAGATGCCAGGGTGGGCTGGCGCATAAGTCTGATGTGCCAGCAGGACCGAGCACCAGACAAACGGGGGCGTCTCACCTAGCCCCTGCACCACTGTCAGCCCACGGCTGGTCATGCCCTTTGGGGGCCCTGCTTTAGGCTGGGTTAACATCTTGAATGGTGAACAGCACCCCCATGTTTCCGTGGACACACGGAACAGCTCTTAAACTGTTTCCACAGGGCTCAGCGCAATGCCGTGCGTTCCATGTAAATGCAGGCACAGGCAGAGATTCACACACACTTAAGGGAACACGCTTGAACAGCTGCACATGTAAATGCTTGCATGCACACTTGAACACGTGCACGGAAATGAACACACACTTGAACACATGCGTATGTAAACACTGGCACACCCACTTGGACACCTGCACATGGAAATGCTTGCACACACACGAACACGTGCACATATAAATGCTGGCGTGCACATTTGAGCACATGTGCATGGAAGTGCTGGCATACACACTTGAACACGTGCACGGAAGTGCTGGCACGCACACATAAATGCTTGTGCACGTACTTATGTGCCCAGCTGCACACTTGGAGCCTGTGCTTTTCCCCAGCTATGCTGGGTATGGGTCACATTCCTGGCCCTTCAGGGGTTCTGCAGCAGCCCCACTGTGCAGTGGCCCACAGCTGGCCATGCAGGAGGGTCCAGCTCCCATGGAGGGGTGGGCTCACTCAGAGGATGCAGTGTTTCTTAGTTTTTCTTGGTCCCCTGAGCATTAGAGCAGTCATTAGTCCCCCAGCCTCAGCGCCAGGTGATGGATGCAGCTGCCTGCCCCTGGTGGACTCTGCCCCCCCGGAGGCTGCTGAGGACACGTGCTGTGGGCCGTGTCACTTTACACTTTGGAAACGGGGGTAGGACTCCTGCTTCTGGTTTCCTTGTTACTGGTTCTGTTGAAACAGTCCCTTAAGTACCCAAGTGAATTTCAGTGGCCAGGCAGCCATGGTACCCACTCCTTCCACTGGGCACAGCCTGGGCTCCGAGGGACACCGGGGAGCCACTTGGGGCATTTATCCTTGATGGCCTCCGTTCCCCATCCCAGCTTAGAGTCCCGCTACGGCCTCTAGGCTCGTGGCTTGTGGTGCACAGCCCCCGCTCCAGACGTTTATCCTCCACAGCCTTCTTCCCCATCCCTGCCCAGGGACTGCCCAGGCTCAGGGCCCTGCTGCAGCCTCCAAGCTCCTGGCTTTCGGTATGTGGCGCTGCCTGCCCAGCCCCACCCACCACTGGACGGGCTGTGTCACTAGGACAGACCCAAATGCACCCAGGGCTCTGAGGAGCTTCAAGGGCTGGGCACCGGGCTGGCAAGCTGGCCTCACTGACCGCCAGGAGTTGACCTCCCAGGACCTCTGGTGAGAGAGCCAGACCCCTCACCTCATCCACCTTTTCTGTCACAGATCAAACAAATGGAGGCGGAGGAGGCTCGGCTCAGACACGAGGTGCAGGATGCCAGAGACCAAAACGAGCTGCTGGAGTTCAGGATCCTGGAGCTTGAGGTAGCTGGGCCAGTGGCCAGCACTGTGGCCGTGTCAGGGATCCAGCCCTCAGCCTTCCTAACCCACACGAGCCCCTGAACATGAACCCAAAAGGCTGGGTCAGAGAGGAAAGAGGCAAAAGGCCGTAAACCACCTTCGTGTGGAGGGTAAGGCCGGCCACCCAAAGCATGTGTAAATGGGGGCCGTGGGCCATCGGCCGTGGAGCTCAGCATCGTTCAGGGAAAACAACGCAAAAGCAAGATGGGTGCTGATGCAGCGTCTGCTCCACACCTGTGTCCTGAGGCGCCGGCACATCGGCCGTCCGTCTGCTCCTGTGGCCCTGCGGCAGCCGGTGCGTGGCAGAGGCTGTGCCCAGGCCTCAGCGGTTGGCAGACGTTTGTTTCTTGCTCACAGAAGCCCCTGAGTGAGGGCAGTGGGGGCCACGTGGTTAGCCCTTATTCTGTGCCCTGCTGGCCCTGGCCCTGCATCCTCTGCTGTGACTGTCACAGGAGGAGGAAGGAGGGGAGGGGGATCCTGCCGGGCAGTTCAGGCTGGGCATGAGCGGCCATATTGCTGTGCTCATGTTTCACTGCCAGGGTGGTCCACCCGTGGGACTAGGAGGAAGTGGCACACATGGGGGCCACCCCTGCCAAACACCATGTGCAGCCCCAAGGCCTCCATCTCAGCCCAGTACCTGGAGCCTCGGAGTCCGAGTGGAGTTGCCTCTTTAAGCCCTCCCGTCCACTGCGGGGGCAGGGCAGCTGTGTGGTCACTCCACGTGTGGACAACCTCGGCCACGTGGGCCTGCCTGTGGGGACAGTGGCAGCACTGCCGGCCTGTCCTCCAGAGGCTCTTCCGTTCAGGCCCTCGGGGAACACAGCCTGCAGCTCTCCCTGAAACTCCCCGCAGCCCCTGTGATTTACTGAGGGATGGGCCGTGGCTCAGGGTGGGGACTGCCCATGCTGCGTGGCCAGGGCATAATGAGCTCTGCTTGGCCCATCTAGGGTCAGCGAATACACAGGGGCCGTCCTCTAGGGCCGGTCCAGGTCCAGTGCAGATTCTCCCACCACCAGCACTTTCATAGTTTGGCTTTCATAAATGCTGTGTTGGTCCCTGGTTCCACGGTCTTGGCCCATATTCCTCAGGCCCCAGCACGGCCCTTTTGGAGGGAAGGGATGGGAGGGGAACAGCTCACCCTCTGCTCTCTTCTTAGGAGAGGGAGAGGAAGTCACCTGCCATCAACTTCCACCACACACCCTTCATGGATGGGAAGAGCCCCCTGCAGGTGTACTGCGAGGCCGAAGGCGTGACAGTGAGCCTCGCCCCTCCCCGCCTCGCCCCTCCCCGCCTCGCCCCTCCCTGCCTTGCCTCTCCCTGTCCCCTCTGCCCACCCCGTGCTGCTCACCCCTGCCTTTCCTCTGTGCCTCCTAGGACATCGTGGTGGCGGAGCTGATGAAGAAGCTGGACATCCTGGGCGATAACGCCGTAAGTGTATGTCGCTCTCCTGGCTTGTGCATGCCCCTCACACCCACCACCCCCAGCCCAGCCCCCCTGGGGTCCAGGAGCCCTGCCAGCCTCCCACAGCTCTGCCATGGGCCACCCTGCCTGAGACGCTCCCCAAGGCCCTCAGCCTGCTCAGAATCGGAGGCTTCCTCACACTGCACCGGGCCCACTGGGGCCTCTGCTGGGCACCTGGTTCTTCTAGCTGACAGCACTTCCCATCACATCGCCCCAGCTTCTAGGGTCTCTCAGCTCTTCCTCACTTGTGTGGGGATGGGGGCTGTTGCTCTTAGATAAGCCAAGACCCTTAGGGGTTCCACTTCCTTGTCTTGGGAGAAGAAGCAGACTCTGTAGATAACCCCTATGTTTCATTTGGGGCAGAGTTCCAATTTCTGCAGCAAACTGCTTGAAAGAATGTTAATTACCAAGTGGGCAAAGTCAATGCACCCCTTCATCCACTTCCTATCCGTCCATCCACTAACCCTCCACTCCCATCCATTGACTCCCCGTCAGTCCATCATATACCATCCCTTCATTCATCCTCTGTCCTGTATCCATCCATCCGTGTAATCCATCCATCCAGCCTCCATCCTTCATCATCTATCCTTCGTTCACCATCCGTAATCCATCCATTCATCCATTACCCATATTCTGTCCATCCACCTTCCATCCATTATCCCAAATCCATCCATTCATCCATCAACCATAATCTGTCCATCTGTCCACCATCCTCCATCCATTTCTTCTCCATCTACCATTCTGTACCCATTAATCTTTCACCCATCCACCCATCCTCCATTCACCCTCCATAATCCATCCACCCTTTATTAATCGCCTGTTCATTCTCCATCAATTCTCTGTGATCCATCCATCCTTTGTTAATCGCCTGTTCATTCTCCGTCAATTCTCTGTAATCCATCCATCCTTTGTTAATCGCCTGTTCGTTCTCCATCAATTCTCTGTAATCCATCCATCCTTCATCCACCCTTTATTCTGCGTTCATTTGTTCATTCATTCTTCGGAATCCGTCTGTCTATTCATCCATCTTCCACAGTTTATCCATTCTCCATCCACCATTCATTCATTCATCCATGTTCCATAAGCTGTCCATCCATCCTCCATCCTCTATCCTTCCATCCATCCATGGCCCCTCCATCCACCCATCCATCATCCTGCATTCACTGACCTTCCGCTCCCTCAATCCAGGGCCCTGTGTGAGAGGACCCCCTTCTCCCCTTTCCTGCCCAGCACCTGGGGAACAGAGAGGCACAGGGCAGGGGTGCTTTCTGCGGAGAGGCTCTGCATCTGGGTCTGCTTCTCTCAGACGTGGGGACTCCGTTGTGGTCATAGGTGGCAGAAGAGCCACGGCAGCGTGGCTATGGCCATGCTCTGGGGTCCAGTCCTGGGTAGCAGCCCCATCATGGGGCCTTGGGAACCATATTGGGCAACTCTCTGATCCACAACTGGAGAAGCTGAGGACCCAAAGGCACTGCCCAGAGTCACAGACCTGATGTAGTGGCAGAGTTGTGGACGTTCAGCTCCGCCTAGGCCTATCTCAGGGCTCTTGTCCAGCCCCGTAGCTGTCTACCAAGAGTGTCACTGAGCGTGTGGCCCTGCAGCCATCATGCAGCACCTGAGGCCATCATCACAGAGCACAGGGACGGAGGAGGTTAGGGACTGGAGGACGCTTGGCCAGGCTTAAGCCCAGGGGACCTGTGGAGATGCTGGAGCTCCAGACAGCGGGCCGACAGTGTTCTTCCGAGCCTGGCTGTGCAGTCAGCTGTGCAGTCAGCGTTGAGCAAGCTTCACATGCACCTCACAGCTTAACCACATCTGGTAGATTCCCTCAGTCACCCTGAAGCCACCTGCTCAGCCTCCCCAACTCCAAGTGTGGGGAGAGGCCTGTGGCCTGCCCAGCCCTGGGAGAAGGGAGCAGGGCAGGAGGGACGAGGCCACCCGGCCCCAGTACCGTGGGATGAGGTTCTCGCCTGAGTCAGGAGTGCAGCTGGCCCCACCACGGACTACAGACTGAGCCTGCCTCCCACCGTGGGAGACCCCGGGTGGACTCTGGGGCTGCAGACAGCAGGCAACGCCTGGGCTTAGGGAGCTCACGCTCCAGGGAGAGAACAGCGTGGACAGGGCTGCTGGAGCGAGTAGCGAGAATCAGGGAGGCTCTGGGAGAGGAGGAAGGGCCTCCCTTCCCCACAGGGACCAGGAACCCAACCCCGGCGCTCCTGTGAGCTGGGGCTGGGCAGCCCTGTTCTGGGCCAGGCTGCAGCAGAGTCTGAGAGTGTGGGGTGCCCACGTCCACATGGCCCCAAAGCCATGCTCACTCTAACCGGAAGGGCCACCCACGGACCCTTGCGTGGGGAGGAAGTGTGAGTAAAACATGCACAAAACCCGCCAGGGATTCACCATTTCACAGCCATGAACTGGTCTCCCCGCCACTGTTCCGAGTGGTGTTTTAATAACCGCAGGTGCATATGCAGAGGCTGGCTTTACACACAGGTGGGGACAGAGGCTGAGCGGAGCAGCGGCGGCTGCTGGGGATGTCGCCACTGCCTGCCTGCGTGGAGCAGCGCACGCTCATCTGCCTCGGCTGGTTGCCTAGACCTGGTGGTTACCAGCAGGGGGAGGATGACAGAAAACAAAATTGACAGCACCCCAAGGGAGCAAGCTCAAGAGTCAAGGGTGTCAGAGATGCTGGGAGGTGTCAGTCAAAGCGCTTTCGAGCTGTGGCCTGCCCCCAGAATCCCCAGTCAGCCTCCCCATGCACCCGTCACTGACCCCCACCCCTGAAGGCACGGCTTCTGACCACATCTGTGTTCTGCTTTTGGGTGCAGAATCTGACCAATGAGGAGCAAGTGGTTGTCATACAAGCCAGGACAGTCCTGACCTTGGCCGAGAAGGTAACAGCAGCTGTGTGGACACTCGAGAAGGGGCCGGGCTCCTAGGGTCTCCTGCCCTGCCCAGCTCAGAGGAGGTGCTCTTCCTGGGAGGAGGGTCTGAGGGCCGGGATGGGGGTCCACTGCCCCACTGCCCTGGGAGATCAGTGAGACAGCACCCACTGTGCACCTTCGCAAAGGACAGATTCAGCTGCACTTTGATCTGACACCAGCCCTGTCTATGTTTCCTCCCGAAGACAGGAAGTTATGCTGAGTCTACAGGCAGCGTTCTCTGTTCAACTTACCATGATCTCTTCTGGGGACACCCACCCACCACCTGCTCCTAGTCCAACCCCCAGCCCAGACCTGTCTGGTGGGCTGGGTCTCCCACAGCAAGGAGAAGGGGTGCTCCTGGCACATAGGGGCTTGGAGAAACAGGCCACCCTCCCCGCCTGTCCTGGCAGAGCTCTGCAGACGTGTCTGCTCCCAGTGCCCAAGCCAGTGTCCATCCTCTCTAGAGAAGGTGTTGGGGCAGATTTCCTGGACAGCTGGAGGGTGGGAGGGGCAGGGCCATGATGCCAGCGCAGCCCTATCTCCCTGGAGAGGGCTGGGCGCTCCCCTCCCTCAGGAGAAGAGGAAGGAAGACCCAGGCTGCCCTGGCATCTCTCCCAGCTGTCTCCATGAGCCGGGGGGACTCTAGGGGTCACTGTCCTGCTTGTTCTGTTTGTGCCCAGTGGCTCCAGCAGATTGAGGAGGCAGAGGCAGCGCTGCAGCGGAAGATGGTGGATCTGGAGAGCGAGAAGGTTGGTGGCATCTTCCCCGAGGCTCTGTGGCTCGGCGCTGCAGGTGGGATGTCCGGGGCTGAGACGTGGTCCTCCTGTGTTTCAGGAGCTGTTCAGTAAGCAGAAGGGTTACCTGGACGAGGAGCTGGACTACCGGAAGCAGGCCTTGGACCAAGCCCACAAGGTGAGAGGCGTGCAGCTGCTAGAGCCCCGGGGTGGGGCACGGGGATGGAAACGGCCGTGTGGCTCAGCTGCCCAGCGGTGCCTCAGGCGCCTGTACGGGCCAGGTCTCAGGGCCCCTAACAGTCCCTACCAGCCCTTGATGACACTGCGGAGTAGACCCTGGCTCTCCAGAGCTGCCCGATGGGGTTTTCACTTAGAACTTCATAAACAGAGCAGGATTCGCTGAGGAGGTCTAAACCCACGCTGTACAGTGAGAACATGCCACAGCTTTCGTGCAGGTCACTTGGGCACAGAAACACAGCCTGATTCCTAAAGACTGCCCAGGCATTGGTGTGAGCCAGTGTCTGCTACCTCCCACCCCTCTCCTGAGGAACCAGAGAAACCAGGGGCTGCTCTGGGACACAGTCTGTTCACTAGGGGAAGGCGTGGACTTGTCCTGTTTCACCTACTGTGGCCTGCTCACTAGGGGAAGGCATGGTCTTGTCCTGTTTCACCTACTGTGGCCTGCTCACT